CACACAGACCATGTTTTCTTTGTCCGTTCATCCGCTGTGGACACATGGGTGGTTTCCTATCCTGGTGAGCCTGGGAGTGCAGGTAGCTCTCCCACAAGATTCTGGCTGCATCTCCCTCGCAGGGATTGCCCGCACTGGGCACTTCAACAGTGATGACTTGGTACAGGAAGTTGATCCAATAGGTGTCGGACTGGGAGAGTGAGAGGCTCAGGCATACCGTGGGAACCAAAAGCACTCGCTGCGCTGGGCGGCCTGTCAGAACCAAGCACGTGGAGGAGAGGCACCCTCTGCTGCTGCCGGCGCCTGGTGGGGGCCCCTGGCTGGCTGGGGGTCTGGAAGACAGGAGCCCAGACCAGCTCTTTCTGCCAGCGCCGTTCCTGTAGCGAGGAGGAAGGAGCGCGAGGCCCATTGTTTAGTCTCAGGTCAGGCGGTTACTTTACGGCTTAGTCTTCAGGTTGTAGGACGTGTGGGTGGCATGAGGACTGAATCAGAGACGCGAATGTTGCCTGTGGCTCCCCTGGAGGACACGGCAGTGGTGGGGAGACAGCGATGCGGGGCCAGGGATAATTACGTCCCCGGATGTGCCGCGGGCGCGTGCAGAGGCCGTTTGCTCACTAGGACGCAGGCTCCGCTTCTCATTGTCAGCTGGCTTCCTGGTGAGGCCCCAGCAGTCGGAGACAGGTGCCCGAGAGGCAGGTGGGCGGGGCTGGCACCGTCCCAGTGGCCCACTGTTTGCACATTCTCTTACCGAGCCTCAGCCTGGCATTGCCGACGGGCTCTGCCCCCAGCCTTGTCCAGTCTCCTGTCGTTCCCCGATCCCTCAGCCCCAGGAGGGCCCCGGGGCAGCCAGGCACCTCGGAGGTCCCATTCAACCCTTGGGATCCCCGCTTCCGGCTCCAGCCCCGCCAAACCCCAGCTCAACCTTGCAGCCCCAGCTTAGGGTTAGCACCTGCTTCCTGCCGGTGCCTTGCTCGGCGCTGTCTGCTTAGCTGCCCTTCTGCCTGCTGCAGCCTGACGGGCACCTGTTTCCCCAGCTCCCTGGGCTGAGGCTGTGGTCCTGGGTTAGGATGCTGGCTCCCGGCACTGCTGTGGTGGGCGGCGGCGCCTGGCGCACCATCCCAGGCTGCTGAGCTGATGGGCAGCTGCACACGGCCCTGCCGCTCGAGGGACCACTTGTCCTGCTGTGGCAAGTGCCTGCGTTTATGCACGCGACTGCGCGGGGTTCGGGTTGAGTAGCCGTGGACAGGTCGACCTGATAAACTTGGGAATTCAGATGCTGTGATTTTCTTTGCAAGTTTTGTAGCCAGCATGCTGTTCCCTTTTCACGTCCCACAGATTTTGAAGTTTGATTTGCTAACCCTCTCAGGCCCACAGAAAGGTCACAGGCAGTTCCCATGCGTCCCTCCAGCGCTGGAGTCGCTGAGCACGCTGGGGTTCCGCCGTCTGTTTCCTGTCTGGAACCCCAGCCTCGTGAGCCTCATCACGCTGGTCCTCACGGCCGGGGCAGTGCTCCGGCTCCCCGCTGCTGGCGCTGCCCTTGCGGCTGCCTGGGCAGGTGTCCCTCCGCGTGTCTCGCACGCCTGATGCACCTCCTCGCACCCAGGAGCGTGTGCGCACACCGTCTCCTGAGCTGCTTTGCGTGTGCTGTGGAGGTGGTGTGTCGGAACGTCCTGCAGCTCCTGTCGGACTAGCGCGTGCTCCGTGCAGTGGGCCGGTGTGTCGGCCTCCCTGTGGAGCGGCTGCCGGGTGTCCGGTTCCAGAGCTGTGCAGGTGGACGTGGAGGTTGTCAGCGCTCCGCATGCGAGTCCCTTGGTGGGAAATCCCCAGAATGCACGTGCCCACGTCCGGCCCCGCCAGCCCCTCAGGAAGCGCCACAGCCTCCATGGGGAGTGGTGCTCGTGGGGACAGGATGGAACGTTCCAGCAGTTCTTCCTGCACGGAAACCTCTGTAGCGGAACCCCGGAGCACGCATGGGCAAAGCAAGGGCAGGAAGTGCTGCGTGGGCCGGGGCAGGCCTCGGGCTCCGTGAGCTCGGGAGGTTTCTGCTGCGTCCAGGGACGGCGCACGTTACACATCAGTGGTGACACTGCCAGGTTTCTCTCTAAGAAATTGGCTGTAGCATGGATGTTTTAAATTTTCACTTCAAAGTAATGTTGAGATACAATCTTTTTATTAAAGATTTATTTATTTACTTGAAAGAGTTACACAGAGAAGGAGAGACAGAGAGAGAATCTTCCATCTGATGGTTCACTCTCCAGTTGGCTGCAACAGCCAGAGCTGGGCCAATCCGGAGCCAGGAGCTTCTTCCGGGTCTTTCCACGTGCGTGCAGGGGCCGGAGTAATTGGGCCATCTTCCACTGCTTTCCCAGGCCACAGCAGAGAGCTGGATCAGAAGTGGAGCAGCCAGGACTCGAACTAGCACCCACATGGGATCTCGGCACTGCAGGCAGTGGCTTTATCCGCTACACCACGGCTCTGGCCCTGAGATATAATTTTTTTTTTTTTTTTTTTTTTTTTTTTTTTTTTTGACAGGCAGAGTGGATAGAGACAGAAAGGTCTTCCTTTTTGCCGTTGGTTCACCCTCCAATGGCCGCCATGGCTGGCACGCTGTGGCCGGTGCACCGCACTGATCCGAAGGCAGGAGCCAGGCGCTTCTCCTGGTCTCCCATGCGGGTGCAGGGCCCAAGCACTTGGGCCATCCTCCACTGCCTTCCCGGGCCACAGCAGAGAGCTGGCCTGGAAGTGGAACAACCGGGACAGAATCCGGCGCCCCGACCGGGACTAGAACCCCGTGTGCCAGCGCCACAGGTGGAGGATTAGCCTAGTGAGCTGCAGCACCGGCTGAGATATAATCTTTTAATGTTCCAAATCCTCCTTAGGCAGTTGAATGCTGTCATCAACACATAGAGTGCCCCGTGACCTTGTCTCAGTACTGCTGAAGCCACAGAACCTGCGTCAGGGCCTTCAGAAGTGTGTTACGGAAGATGCTGGAGGCTGTGGTGGCACGTGGGCTAAGCTACTGCCTGTGACAGTGGCATCCCATGTCCGAGTGCTGGTCTGTGTCCTGGCGGCTCCGGTTCGGATCTGGCTCCCTGCTGATGCACCTGGGAAAGCAGCGGAGGACGGCCCAAGTATTGAGCCTCTGTCAACCATGAGGGAGACCCGGATGCAGCTCCAGGCTTTTGCCTGGCCCTGTCCTGGCTGCTGTGGCCTTCTGGAGAGAACCAGCAGATGCAAGATCTCTTTCCCTCCTGCCCCCACTCCCAGGTCACTCTGCCTTTCAGACTGTCAGACTTTGTGATTTTGGTAATTTCTATAAGCCCAGGAGGGCTTCCAAAATGACCCTTTTTTAAAAAAATAGAAATTCTCTCACGTGGCAGAGAGTGTGGAGCATGAATAAATTTGGGCTCCCGGGGCCAGCGCCGTGGCTCATTTGGTTAATCCTCCGCCTGCGGCACCAGCATCCCATATGGGCGCCAGGTTCTAGTCCCGGCTGCTCCTCTTCCAGTCCAGCTCTCTGCTGTGGCCAGGGAGTGCAGTGGAGGATGGCCCAAGTGCTTGGGCCCTGCACCCCATGGGAGACCAGGAGAAGCACCTGGCTCCTGGCTTCGGATCGGCACAGCTCTGGCCATAGCGGCCATTTGGGGAGTGAACCAACAGAAGGAAGACCATTCTTTCTCACTGTCTGTAACTCTGTCAAATAAATAAAATCTTTAAAAATTTTTGGGGTCCCTTCTGTCAGCAGATGTGAGTGTGCAGTGTGCCGATGCTGCCCCTCCCGCGTGGGCTGTGGACGTGGGGACTCTGGATCTCGGAGGAGCGGCTCTGTCGGTGCTGTCCAGGCTCCATGTTAAGTGCCTGACGGGGCCTGAGCGCCAGAGCCAGGAGGACATGGGGGGCCGGGCCCAAGGCAGCCAGCAAGTGGTAGGTGGAAGAGGAATGAGGAGGCGAAGGGGCAGGTGAGGCCAGAGTGCTCGGGCCAGAGGCTTCCTTCCTCCCGCGAAGGCGCGGAGCGAGGATCCAGCCAGGCTGTAGGTGGAGGACAGTGGACGGAAGTGGGGCACTTGGAGGCGGACGCGCCAGGACCTGGTAGGTGGAGACGCCCTGGCTGCCTGGGTGGGTGGCGGCGCAGGGTGTGGAATCCTGACCTAGGGTCTGGTTTCGCTCTGGTTTGGGATCTTTACGAATGAGAAATTTTCCTGTGGGTATGTTAACTGCCTTGTGAACCTTAAGGTTGATGCCCACGTGGTGTTGGGACAGGCCACTGTGCAGTGTGGCCGAGGCCTTAGAGCTTGTCCTCTGTGGTCGTTCCCCAGTGTGACCACTAGATGTCGCCGAGCACACGGTAATCGACCCAGTGCTGTGCAGGCTGAGAGGGACTCAGCAAGGTGGCCCCAGCCCTGCAGGGGGCGCTGTCGCCTTCGGTGTGCTCTTCAGACCCAGGAGTGTGACTGCATAGAGGAGAGCAGCTTAGGGACCCGGTGTGTTGGCACCCTGGTTTTCAAGGTGTCTGGCAGTTGGGGGTGGGTGCTGTGGGGTCTGGGCTTTTGGGTGCATCGCAGCAAAGGCACACTGGCTCGAGGGCCTGTCCTCTCCTGTGCGGGGCTGCAGCCCGCAGCCCCCACCTCACCCACTGAGAGCGCGTGGGCTCTCGGGTCATCACAACTGTAAGACAACCATGAAGAAGCGCAGGGAGGCCTGGGGCGGGCAGCTTCGTGCCTGCACCCCCAGCCCAAGCTTAATTCTGAAGCGCTCGGAAGCAGTGGCCTGTGGGCACTTCGCACACAGTGCGGCAGGTGCCTCCCGCAGACGGCCCTCTGCGTGGGTTTGGCCGAGCTAAACCGCACCGAGGCCGGCTCACGTGTTCTGACTTATCCCCAAGGCCAAGAGTGCGTGTAAGCTGGGGCCCGAGGCAGGTGTTGGCTGGGCGGGAAGTGCGGGCTCACGGGTCTGGGTTCTTTGTTCTCAGTCACCTGACCTTTCTCTACCTTTCTTTCCAGACAATTTACGAAAACAGAATATACAGCCTTAAAATAGAGTGTGGACCCAAATACCCAGAAGCGCCCCCCTTTGTACGATTCGTAACAAAAATTAATATGAACGGAGTTAATAGTTCTAACGGAGTGGTAAGTCCTCCTGCCTCCCCAGCCAGCCCTTGTTCCTGGGGGCGAGAATCGCTTTCTGCTCACCGTCGGGCACCCCATGGGCTCGCGGCCTCCTGCTCCTGGGTCGTGTGGTGCAGGCCGGAGGGGGGGCTGTCCCCCACTCCATTTAGGTGTCACTCACCGGGGCTCTGTGCCCGCCCCGCCAACACGAGCTCATTGTGTCCTCTGAGCTCATTGTGTCCTCTGACCGGGAGCTGGAGACTGCAGGGCCACCACCACCACCACCACCCCCGCCTGGGCCACGCCCCCCGCCTGGGCCATGCCGCCGGCAGGAAGTTTTGTTTTTCCTCTATGGCCTTGCCTTGTAAACTTGCCTTTCACAGGTTGAGTTCCTACTGGAAAGTCTCAAGCCTTGTGGACGCCAGCGTGACACTCGGGAGGTGTCCGGTGTCTGCGTGGGCTTCCTGTGTCCCACGTCACAGTGCCCGGCTTCAAGTCCCGCCTCTGTTTCTGACCCAGCTTCCGCCTGGCCCAGCCCTGGTCGTGAAGGCGTTTGAGGAAAGAACTAGTAAATAGGGGATCCCCCGCTCTCTCTGCCTTTCAGATAAGAAAGTGTCCGTGTCGGGGCAGGTCAGATTAGGGAGACTCAAGCATTTGTCAAGTTGCTACCAGGGCTCTAAAGTCCAGCCGCTTCTGAAATCACAGGTGCTCTCGTTCCAAGCCTTTGGATTAGGAATGCTCGGTCTATACTGCATTTTTCAAAAGAATTCCTACTTACTTATTGGAAAGAGAACGATTTTCCATCTGCTGGTTCATTCCCCAGATGACCACGGCGGCCAGGGCTGGTCCAGGCCAAAGCCAGAAGCCCGGAGCTCTGTCGCTCTCCCCCGTGAGTGGCAGAGGCCGGAGGACGCGGGCCCTCGTCTGCTGTCTCCCAGGTGCATTAACGGAGCTGGATCAGAAGCCGAGCACTGGGACCTGAAGTGGCGCCCGTGTGGGATGCCGGCCGCCTGGGCGTAGGTGGGGAAGCAGTGACGGCGGCAGGGTCTGTCGCGGCCTCAGTGCCAGTGGGGCCTTCCCGAGAGGCCGGCACGTGTCGCAGGCGTGTCTGTGTGCTCGTGTCACTTCTGTCCCGCACGTCGCTGTCTGAGGCGCTCAGGAGACTGGACTGAGAGAGGAGAGGGCCTCGGTGCCCTGGCTCAGCACTTGACGTTGCACCCGAGCCGGCTCTCAGCCCGGCACTGCACTAGCCTGAGAGGCTTCGGCTCTGGGGCAGAAGCCGGCCCCAGGCCGTGCTCACCAGCGCGCTCCTCACTGCCCTGCACAGCCAGGTGCAGCACGGGAGGACGCCCCGGACGGCCCGCGTGGGCCTGGGATGGCCTCCCGAGCCTCAGCAGCCCTGTTCCTCCTGACAGCTCGGCGTGGAGGGAGGGGCGCTGGGTGGGGTTTCTGCGTGGCCCAGTGGGCCCCGTGTCCTCCCCGGCGTGGGGGCCTGACCGTGGGCTGTCTGCCTCTCCACAGGTGGACCCGAGAGCCATCTCCGTGTTAGCGAAGTGGCAGAACTCGTACAGCATCCGAGTGGTGCTGCAGGAGCTGCGGCGCCTGCTGATGGCCAAGGAGAACATGAAGCTGCCTCAGCCGCCCGAGGGCCAGTGCTACAGCAACTGAGCGCCGGCCGGCCCGGCCGCGCCCTCCGCAGTAGGGATCTGCTAGGTTCGTCCTGTAGGCCTCAGAGTACTGGAAAGGAAGCTCCCTGCAAAGGCGATCTATCTTAAGACACTGTCAGTGATACTAATTTTTTGTCCATTTGAGATATGAGTTGTGCTATGACATCATCCTGTCGAGTGTAACCACTGTCCACGTAGCTGAGCTTCGGGATCAAGAACGCGTATTTCAGTTGACGCCCATCGTCGCGGTGGGACACGGCTACTCCACTGTGAAGACACATCACACGGCACCTTGCTGCTGACGGCCTGGCCTGGGCCTCCGTTCCCCCCGCCCCGCGCCCCCTCCACGGCAGCCCTCCGGCGTGGGCTGGCTCCTGAGAGTGGAGGTGACGGTTTCGGGGGGACTACTGTTGGGTATGGGGGTGCCTTGCACCCTGGTTTCTTTTTCTTTTTTCTTTTTTTTTTTTTTTTGAGTCTTAAATGATGTTCTTTCCAAGCCATTGTCCCCTCCCGTCCCACTCCCGCCCTGGGCCGAAGCATAGATTGTAACACACACACACACACACCCCCGCTCCCCTCGGAAATTGGCCTTCGGGGAGGAATTCAGGGCTTTCCCGGGATCTTTCTCCCCCACTCTTTGTTGAGGGGCGCTGCTCTCCCTTCCTCACGGCCCCGGGGCCCTGCCACCCCCACACTCCCCGTGCCCGTCCGCACGTTGGCCAGACGCCGTCAGGGAAGGCTGGAGGGCCTCTGACGTCCCTCGTCGAGCTGGGACCCAGCCCGGGAGATGAAGGCCAGGCCGCAGCCCTGCCGCCGCTGCCCTGCCGCCCGCTGCCCTCGTCAGCCGCTCAGGCGGCCTCGCGGCTCAGGTTCTGACGGGGGACAAGAAGGGCGGCGGGTGCCCGCCCAGACCTGCCGGCTCCCCAAGTCCTTGGTGGTTAAGCCTGGGGAAAGGCCACTCGGGGCACGCAGCCCGCAGGAGCCCTCCGAATCGCTCTCCCTGTCATTGCTTTGGCTTTCCACTTGGAAGACGTTTGAAACAGGGTCCCGCTCGCTCAGCCCTGCAGCGCGTCAGGTCTAGTGTGGAATCCGACAAAGAACCTTCGATCCGGGCACTTGGTGCTGGCGCTGCCGCCCCCTCGGTCGTCCGCAGGGAGTGAGGGCTCGGCACGCGGCCGTGTCCCACTTGCAGTCGGGACCACTAGATGCTGACCTGGGGACGCGCCGACGTGACGAAGTCGCCGTGTCCCAAGGTTTTTTTTTTAATTAGTATTTGTGTAAAAAAATGACCTGTGAAGCAGCAGCTGGGAGTCTGAGACGCGGTTGTTCCCATTCCGCTTTTCCGGGAACCTTAGCTCGAGGAGGCGACGCCGGGCGGGAAGTCTAACAGCAGTGTTCCATCCGCAGCCTTTCCATTGTCAGACCATTGCCTGATTTTAATATAATAAAGTGTGCGTTAATATTTAACAGGCTCTGCTCTCTTGCTCTCGGCTTAGTGACTTAGGGGCAGAATCCGTGTTTCCGGTGCTTCGGGGCACAGACCGAAGCCCTACAGCCAGTACTGTCTTCTAGAAAGATCTAAATTAGTCAATAGTTCGGCTTCATGGGCCCAGAGACGTCAGCACCGTGGAACAAGAGGAGGGCTCGTGCTCTTTTCTGTTGGTGAGAGTTTGACTGATTTCTGTCCTCTGGTCTTCCCGCCTGTAGTGGAGGTTTCTCCCAGGGGATGTTTGGGTCAAGTTCTCGGTCTCCAGGTGTTGTGGATGTCGCTCTGCGTTTGTGAGCCATTCACAAACAGTTGGCTAGGTCTGGCCAGGGGGCCGTGCCTGCCAGCCCCTGTCCCAAAATAGTTTGCTCAAGATTTATTTTGTTTATTTACAAGGAAGAGTTAGAGACAGAGAGAGGTCTTCTCTCCACTGTTCACTCCCCAAATGGCTGCAGTGGCCAGGACTGGGCCGGGCTGAAGCCAGGAGCTTCCTCCGTGTCTCCCGTGCGGGTGCAGGGGCCCGAGCACTTGGGCCACCCTCCACTGCACTCCTAGGCGCAAGAGCAGGGAGCTGGGACTCAAACTGGTGCCATGAGATGCCGGCTTTGTAGGCGACAGCTTAACTCACGCTGCCACAACGCGGCCCCAAGGTCATAGTTTTAAGAAAGGATTTTTGGGGCTGGCGCTGCGGCATAGCAGGTAAAGCTGCTGCCTGAAGCACTGGCATCCTGTGTGGGCGCTGGTTCGAGTCCCAGCTGCTCCTCTTCCGATCCAGCTCTCTGCTGTGACCTGGGAAGGCAGTGGAGGATGGCTCAAGTCCTTGGGCCCCTGCACCCACATGGGAGACCCAGAGGAAGCTCCTGGCTCCTGGCTTCGGGTCGGTGCAGCTCCACTTGTTACAGCGGTCATCTGGGGAGTGAACCAATGGACGGAAGACCTCTCTCTCTCTCTCTCTCTCTCTCTCTGCCTCTCCTATTTCTGTGTAATTCTGACTTTAAAATAAATAAATAAATCTTTAATAAAGAAAGAATTCTTTGGTTTCAGCAGCCGTGTGGGACGCTAGCCTTTAGCAGTGCCCTCGAAGCCGGGCGCGGTGGCGGCTGGAGCCTCCTGGGGGAAGGCCCACGGGTGTGGCCTCACCTGCGCGCAGTGGGCACGCGCCTGCAGCTGTCTCACCCGGGGTTTGGACTTTAGTCTCCCCACCAACAGGCACTGCGGTCCTGGCTGTGGGGCCCGGGCCGGGGCTGGGGAGGGGGCCCCGTGGTTCCCCTCTAATCTGCGAGCCCAGCCTACCTCGGTCCTGACAGTGGGCGGTGCCCCGGGCAGGGAGCAGGATGTGGGCTCCGTCATTCCCAGATGCTACAGGGAACCCCCAGAGTGAGGTCGGGGCTAACCCTAAGGGGGCCCACGGCCTAAAGCAGGCGCCTCCTGCTGCTGCTGGCAGAGAGAAAGCTGGCCTAGGACTCGGGGAGCCCGGCCCGCCGCAGGGGATGGCCTTTCCTGGGGGCGGGGGAGGTGGTCTCACGCATGCGCGGGGCGCTGAGGTTCAGGGCCCGCGGGTTTGTGCCCGGTGCCTCTCCTGGAGCACACCCCTGAGCTGTGCCCTCCTGGGTCCCAGTGAAGGTCATCCACTGCGACTTCCCCTCAGGAACTCAGGTGCAGGGAGCTCAGCACAGCAGGCTAGCGATGTTGAGGGAGGCCGTGGGTGGACCGCTAGGCCTGCAGGGGTCTCCATTGCCCTGTGACTAGCTCCCCTAGCTGCAGCCTCCACTCTACAAAGTTCTGGGCCCCTCGGGTAGGGGCACCGTTGACCACACTGCCGCCTCAACTGTGCTGGCCAGTGGTGGGGACCCTGTTGGAGAAATGGAAGGGCTCCCTGCCCCCGCCAGGGGCCCAAGGGAGCAAGTCCCTAGTGGGGAATCGGGCTGGCTGTGCCTTACCCCACAACGGAGGACATTGGAGGGGGGACAGCTGTGACAGCTTCACAGTTGGCGACGGGCTGGGTGTGCCCAGCTCTGAGTTCCTGGGGTGACAGCAGATCTGTGGACTTCCCAGGCGGGCCACACACGTGCGCTCGGCGCTGAGCCCACGGCTGGAGTGGCCCTGGGGGAGCGAGGTCTTCATGCCCGAGGCAGCCTCGCCGCCGCCACAGCGGCCAATCCCACAGCCATGAACCAGGAGGCGCTGGATTCGGGCAAGTGTTGCCACACGGGTGGGGACAGGTGCGTGCAGGCAGTGTGGCTCAGTGAACACGAGAGCTTTCTGGCTGGAAGAAGCCACAGGTGCAGGCTTTACGTGAGATTCAGCATTGCTGTGTCAGACAGTTCCTACCCCACACAGGACACCGCAGACACATCCGCGGGCCACGCACGGCTGGCAGACCACCCTGAGACCCTGTCACCGGCTGCCCCTCGTCCCGCCAGAGTCATCCGTGTGTTCTTCAACCCCTCCCCCAGGAGGCGTGGTCCTGGAAGTGCTGCCCAGGGACCCACTGTGCCCCGGAGCCAGGGCGGCCACACCTGTGTGGACCCACAGGTCACGGAGTCCGCTGTGGGTCACCACTGGTTGATGTCCCCCGTGGAAAATGCTGTTGAGGGCTGGCATCATGGCACTGCAGGTGAACCACTGCCCATGACACGGGTGTCTCATGTGAGCACCGGTTCCAGTCCCGGCTGCTCCACCTCGATCCAGCTCCCTGCTAATGGCCTGGGAAAGCAGTGGAAGGTGGCCTAAGTGTTGGGCCCCTGCACCCACATGGGAGACCCAGAAGGAGCTCCTGGCTCCTGGCTTTGCCCTGGCCCAGCCCTAACTGTTGCGGCCATTTGGGGAGTGAACCAGTGGATGGAAGACCTCTCTCTCTGTCTCTCCCTCTCTCTGACTCTGCCTCACAAATAAATAGAATCATTGTTGGTTCCAGCACGAGACACTGAGTCGTCAGAGCAGGCCCAGTTGCAGGAGGGCTAAGGTGGGAAGGTCCGGGGAGCAGATGCGCCTCTCGGCCGTGACGGAGACTGCGGTGGCACCGCGCCGCCCGGGCAAGGACGGGAGGTAGATCTCTGTGCAGGGAGGTGGGCGTGGGAAGCTGCTGGGAGACAGGCAGCGAGGTCCCATCTGCTGGGTCACTTCCCAAATGCCCATGGTGGCTGGAGCCGGGCCAGGCCGGGGCCAGGAGCCTGGAACACAGCCAAGATCTCCCACGTTGGAGCCATCACCTCTGCCTCCCCAGAAACAAGAATCAAGCCAGAGCCTGGACCAACACCCAGGTAGGCAGAGAGAGAGGTCTTCCATCGCTGGTTCACCCCCCAAATGGCTGCAACAGCCAGAGCTGGGCCAGTCTGAAGCCAGGAGCCAGGAGCTTCCTCCGGGTCTCCCACATGGGTGCAGGGGCCCAAGGACTTGAGCCATCTTCTACTGCTTTCCCAGGCCACAGCAGAGAGCTGGATCAGAAGAGGAGCAGCCAGAACTCGAACTGGTACCCATATGGGATGCCGGTGCCGCAGGTGGCCCCAGCGCTGGCCCCGGGACCTGGGTGTTTTAGGTAGCTTCGTGGCCGCCAGGCTAAGTGCCTACCCCGACACCAGCATCTCCCCCGTGACCCGTCCGGGTCGCCCACCAGGGAAGCACGCAGGGCTGCCCCTCCCTCTCTCCTGAGCGTCCCGCTGAGCCTGCCCGTCAGCCTCCGTGGGAGGCTGACCCCTGCCCCTGAGATCCTGGCTCGTCCACCCTGCTGCGCAAGTGAGGCAGGAGGGCCGCCCCCGCTGTTCCCTGTATGCCTTGCGGGGCTGGCTGCTGGGAGGCCCTGTGGGCCAGGCAGGTGCACGTGGACGGCTCAGACTGGGGCCTCTTCCCCGTGGCCAGCTGGGGACGTGCCCAGCAGGAGATGCTGGCAACGGCGGGGCTGGGGAGCCTGGGCCTCGCGGCCGAGCTCGCAGCCTGGCAGGGAAGCAGGTGCGCTGGAAGCCCCTCCCTCTCCAGAGCCACTTCTCGGGGCTGCCGTCAACTCCTGTGCTGTCCACTTTGCCTTGACCCCCCGTGCCCATCCTGGCCTTGACACGTGCTGGTCCCTCCGCCCAGAATGCTCTCGCTGCCCCTTGTCCTGCCCCTGACAGCAGCTGTGTCTCCTGAGCACCAGCTGTCCCCAGCCCGGGCGTGTGGGCGTGGCCGGGACGCTTCCGGTTGCCGCAGTGGGGGCCGTGCACCCGTGGGCACCGTCTCTGGCTTGCTCGGGGCTGACCACAGTGAATTCTTCCCCAGGGCTGGGCCACCAGGCTGCGGGCAGTGACGGGACTGTACGGACCCTGCCGCCTCTGCCGTGAGCTCACCAAAGGGCGCTGGGTGGCAGGGGGCCGGCCGAGCAGGACTGACATCGAGTTCGGCCAGGGCAGGCGCTGGGCCCGTGTGAGTGCCGGTTTGAGCCCCAGCTGCTCGGCCTGCAGCTTAGCTCCCTGCCGACGCGCCTGGGAAGGCGGCGGAGACGGCCCAGGCACCTGGGTGGGAGACCGGGATGGAGTTCCAGGCCCCTGGCTTCGGTTTGGCCAGCCTTGACCGCTGTCTCCCTCCCTCTCTGTGTTGCTCTGCCTTTCAAATAAACAAACAAACAAATAATCTTTTTAAAAAGGGAGGAAGGGGAGGGGGAGGAAGGAGGAGACAGGTGCAGAGCTAGGGAAGCCCTGTGCCCTGGCAGGGTGGGGGTCTCAGCCAGGCGCAGAGTCAGGAGGAGCCCGGAGCCCACTGCCCGTGGAAGCCGACAGCGCCTCTGGTCCCTGCGCTGCCCGGGGCTGGCTTCGTCCCGGGACTCCCAGGAGCAGTCGATGCCACTGCTGGACGTGGCTGGCATGGGCTGGGGGTACAGAGGTAGCATCCAGGACATGGGTCAGGGCACCAAATCCGTCCTCGCCGCCACCACCCTCGACAGTGGGTTCCGCTCTCGGAGGACAGCGGGGACGGGGGGGCTGACGTGGAATTGGCTTTTCAAATATTA